ACCTGATGGGAAAGGCCCCCCACCTGGCTAGTTCCTCTATCAGCTGGATCAGCTGCACTCCGGAAGGTCCTCAGCCTAATAGGTTTCACTTCCTGCCAGCCTGCAAAATTAGTAAAACTGGACAATCACATTTTTTCCGTGGGGATCAGAGTCACCCCACCCTTTTGTTACTACAAAGCTGCCTCCTATGGCCCCTGCTTGTTCATGCTGATGCTGAGTGCAATCTCATGTCATCCTGCATGGCGTGTGGTGTCCTCCTTCCTCAGGCTGTCAGTATCCGTGACTAATAAGCTGCTGTTGATCTCATATGCCCAGTGGCATGTGTTGTGTGTTCAGCCATCCTCATAACCCTGCAGTGGGAACCCCTCCCTCGCTAATGGTGTAAAGAGAAGGCAAATAAAACAATTACTGTATCCACTTTGAGTTCAGAGCCTTTCCTCAAGCCTGATGGTATTTCTGGGTTCCCCATCACAGGGACAGCTCCATGGCTCACTCAATCACAAGACCAAACCAGATCCCCGGGTGCTTTCCTCATCCCCACCGGTTTCCTCATCTCCTGCATGGTAATAGGTTAACTCAGCAGGCCTGCAGTGCTCAAACCCCGCACACTCCAATTAAACAGTGTTAGCCAAAATTTTATCTCTACAAGAACAGTTAAATTTTACAAAGAACAGAATCAGCAATGTTATTCACCTTGAATAACTTCTGGGAGGTAACATCTGTTCCCTTTGAACAGGGATGGGGAAACTTTTCATGTTGGAAGGCTGCATTAATTTAGCTGTAATCAAATAAGGCTGCAGTCAAGAAAATTCAATTAGATATACTTTAAAATGTACAATATTTTGTAAAAAATCTAACTACTATGTACCTAATAATTTCAAAAAAAATGAAAACAATTTGTTAATTTTAAAGTTAACTAACCTTTTAATGACTTTGTTGTGTCTGCTTTTTGTTGGAAAGCATTTGAATATTTGGCTGCAGCATGGAGGGCCACAGTTTCAGCTGAACCTCTAGATGGGTATCAGTCATTCGTGACCTTAAGGGCATCTGATTTGGGTGAGGCAGGAGAATGTAGATTCGCAGCAATAAGTGGTTGAAAAGTAACAAAGCATTTTTCGGGCATGTTGCTGAAGGCATGAGGATTCTACGGCATTTTCCCGTATTTCAATTGTATCTTTCTTAGAATCAAACAATGACTTTAAAATGTCATCTACTGAGAGCTCATCAATTCCATCTGTAGTTCTTTAGGTGCCTCGGTGATATTAACTAGGTGAGCCTGAAATGCTAATTTGAGTGTGATGTCATGATTCTCAAAGTCAGTGAACCTATCATTATATTCTCCAATTAATAGGTCTGTAACAGCTGCGTATTCCTCTAATGATTCGCATATATCGTCCTGCTCATCAATGACCTTTGCTAACTGGGGAAAATGTTCATCCAAAATTTCCTTTTGAAGAAGAAATGTTTTGGAAAAATAGCTTTTTTTGAAATGCTTGGATTTTTTTTTGCCACATAGCATATATAGATTTAGTTTTACCTTGCAAAGAACTATTCAAATCATTCTGATTTGACATGATATCACACAGAAATTCTGCATTCCTATAGAAATCTTTTTTCAATAACTCTCATTGCTGATTCTGTTCTTTGTAAAATTTAACTATCTGTTCTCGCAGAGATAAAATTTTGGCTAACACCTGTTCCTGCAATAGCCAATGCACTTTAGAAGGATACGGCAAATCCACACTGAATACTTCATCATTCAAACTGACAATGCTGTGTTGCATTTGCATGAATACAGTTAACAATACTTATAACTTGCTATAAAGTATCACTTAAAATAGTAGCTTTAGCACAGAGATTTTGCTGATGTAAGACACAATGAAAAGAAATGAGAGCATCTGGATCTGTTAATACTTTTTTTATCTGTGCAATAAACACTTCATGTTTTCCTGTCATGGAAGGTGCACTGTCTGTACATACACTCACTAAATTTACCAAATTCAGTCCAACTTCATGACATTTATCTTGAAAGTTGTTAAACATATCTGTTCCCTGTGTTCTGTTCACAAGAGTGCCCAAAGTGAGTAACTCTTCTTAGCAAAGAAAATCTTCTTTTATGACCCAAATGAAGTATAAAACCTGCGTCAAATCGGTAGTACCAATTGATTCACCCAAAGCGATTGAATAGCATACATTTCCCTTTTGAAGTATTGCATGAAGACATGAAGTTGTTCTGTTAAGTTGAAGGCTAATTCATGCTGCTCATCAGTTATGATTCTCCTTGAAAGAAGCAGTTGTCTATACTTTGAAACATTAGCAGGGTCTAAGCACAATGCATTCTTTCACAATTTCTGCATCGCTGAATGGCTTCCCTTTTTTCCCGCGTATATAAGCTACTTTATAAGTTGCTTCAGTGGCATTATCTCTAGGTTTTATTGCTGCTTGAAAGAATTGTTTTTGCTTTTGCTTTTCATCTTTTCATTTCTGCAATACAACCTTTCATGCCTCTCCCTCTAATTTAAAATATTTGTGGTCCTTATGAGTGTTAGAATGCTGATGAGCATTGAATTTCTTTAATGTTGATACTGCAGTATCACAAGCAAGCAAATCATCTTATCTTTAGCAAAAACAAGATAATATTGCAATTCCCAATCCTCATTAAAAAGTCTGTTTTCTTCCTTCAACATTCTCTTGGTCTTCTTTGACATGATGGGCTGTTAAGCAGACAGAACTAAAAAATACTGTTGAGCTTTGCAACTGTTCACAAATTCCACTTCAGACAGAAACCCAGTCCACTGCTGTCAAAAGCTGATAACAGACTGTCGTACTCGACCCCCACAAATTCTCACCAACCAGCCTCATGTGGTAGTGGTGCCAGTCAGGTGGGGGAAGTTAGAACTAAATCAAGAGTGTAGTAGCTGTCAATTTAGTCCTATGAATTACTAATGTTCTAGTTGTGCCAGTCAATCT